CAGAATTTTAGAAGAGCAATTGAATTCTCTCTTGAATGCAACCAAATTTTACTAGTATCTTGATTCCAGCCCATTAGCAAACTAATGATACATATACATAGTAAAATTAAGGTGTAACTATATAGCAGGTATGTGTTAATATAGCAAGCATGGTTAACAAGAACAGTGGAGGTGAAGTAGTGTGGAGTTCAACAGTGGTTAGGAACCTGAGTACATTCCCAGGGTCCTTGTGCTGCCACGTCTTGCCATTCTGGTTACTTATGCTAGCTAAAGGCTAGTATAGGTTTGCATACCTACACTGTAATCACATCTTTGCTTGCAGCACAGACATACCTTAGGAGGGACTGCTATTATAAGGCTTAATTTCTCAAGACGTGTTCCATTTTTGAGTTCTCATTCATTCTCTCTAGATGTTAAGATGCCTATGTCCATGCAATCGGTGGAATTTTCTTACCATAAGCTGTGTTGCACAGTTCATGTAGTAAGCATGGGAACCTTGGGTAATGTAGAAAGTCATAAACTATGCTTAAAGACATGAATACTAGGTTTTGATTAATCTCAACAGAAGTAGCTTCACACTAGTAGCATAAACAAATTCAGGCTAGCTTTAACCTAACATGGAGCTCAGCATGGACAAATCTATCCCGCTTTTTGAGACTGGGCCTGAAGTATAGACATATCCAAAGACTAGTTAACCAATCAGCTCTGGTGTCAGTGTCAGAAGTGGCAAGACTTGTGTGTATGAGGTGTTTTTAGATCTTCAGAGGAAGAGCAATACTTGAATTAATAACTTACAGCTTATTGTACTTATATTTGAATTCCTATTCGGTGCCATGCCAGTAGGAACTGTTTCCCTACTCCATTTCCATCAAGATTGACACTTAGTATGTTTGCATACAAGGAACAGAAACACAAAATACTTGGAATGTGCTTTGACATCTTTTTTGTTCTTCTACTGCTTACAGATTATTTTCCAAAGTCAGCAAGGGTGAAATGTTTATTACAAACATTTGCTTCTTTCTTTCTCATCAAAAACAGAGGTCACAGAGAACAAAAGCTGTCATAAACAGCTCTCTGTCTGACCTCTCGGCCAAAAAAAGAGCAGGTTTATTACTAACACAGTGGATTTCTTTAAAATACTTCCTTGGCTGACTGGAATTGGTCAGAAAGGGAAACAACTGCTCTGCCTTAACAGTCTCAGGTACCTCTGATCTTAAACCATTTGGGTACCCCTCAGTGGCATTCTCTCAGAGCCCAAATGCCACATACAGGCAACTGTCTCTTCTTAGAAAAATGGGACAGGCTGAAGGAGGAGTAATTTTCACCTAAAAGCTATGATTTGTTCCTCAAGCTCTGCAGTGGAAGACACAACCTAAGATTCAATGGACCACCAGACATAGCAATCATTTTCAAGTGACTTAGGGTATCTTATTCTCCAAAACCAACTTGTAGATCATATTAAATCAAATTGTACAATTAAAATAAAGTTACTGATTGATTCCAATTTCTCCACTTTCACATAGTGGATCTCAGATACCAGAGGTACTATTTTGAATAAAGGGTATTGGGGGGGGGGGGGGGGG